ATGTATATAATTATATTATATTATATTTTTAAGTTATTTAAACCATGTATGAATTTTTATTTGAATTATATACATTAAGGTGTTTTAATATTTATATTATTTATTTTATTTTTATTTATATTATATTATATTATTATTTATTACTTGACTGAAATTATTATATATGATTAATTAAATTTTTTTTTATAACCAAATTTATATTATATATTTAATGTCATGTGAAAAAAACTTTTAATAACCTAGCTCTCACCCTCTAACGTGGATGAAGGACAGGCAAGCTTATCTTGCTAGGCACGACGTGCCAGGAGAAGTCGTGGCCTTGAAAAGCAGTAATGTGCTGAGAACAGTCGTAGACATGAAACTGAATTTTCACCCGATCACGTTTAATTAATTTACAGAGGTTTCGCTGGAAAATCTTGTTTTAAAAAAAGTATAATTCTTTTTTTAAAAAATTATTCTTAAAATCGCAATACCAAAAACTATTATAAGACCTGTTGTCATTTTGTTCTGCCATTCCACCCAGTAGTTTTGATTCATAGTATTTTTCTTATTATGCTCCTCTGTACCTTTGTTTGAGTATTTGTTATTTTTAAATTTTTAATATATTAAAATAATATTTTTTTTAAAATTTATTTTTAATATTAGCACTTTAAAATAATTTAAATTAAAGCAAAGAAAAAAAATTAAATTTCTTTATATTTTTTAAAATATTTGTAAAAAACAAAAACAAGTAAGCTTTAAATAACCTTTGATAGTATTTTTATCATTTTGCTCCTGTTTAGAGTGCAACTCATATAGATATTTGTTAAAATTTATTTTTTATTTAAATTTATTTTTTTATATTTTAAAATTATTTTGATAAAAATAAATTTTAAAAAATAAAAAATATTATTTTAATATATATTTAAATAAAAAATACTTTTAAAAAAAATAACTAGATTAGGTTTTTAACTTTGTTATACAAAGTAAAATGACCTCATCATCCCTATAATAAAAGCTTTTAGTTGAGATTGGTTTGGTATTTATATATATTTGGTTAAAATTAAAATTAAATAAAAAATAATTTAATATGTTTGGTTAAAAATATTTTTTAAATTGAGATTATAAAATAAGTAATATATATATATATATAGTTTTAAATTTAAATATTGTAGATTTAATTATTGCTATTATATTATGAAATAAATAATACTTTATATAAAATATTTTTTATTATTTCATTAAATTATCTATAATTTTATTATATATAAAATTCATCCAATTAAAATTATAGTTTTTATAATTTTTTAATTTAAAAAACATTAGTGAGCTAAGGGATATTTATTTAAAACGCTGAACAATAAAGAAGAAAAGCAATCAAGAGTTGGTTTGACAAAACTTATATTTTAAACGTGCTTTGAGCTCCGTAAAAAATAAATTCTGCTTTTAATGTAACTAAATATTTATTTTGTTATGGTCGCTTTAAATACAAAAACAACCACGCTAGCTAACAAACAGACACCAGAGCTGGTGCGCTAAGGGATAGTTTTGCTTTTTAATTTTATATATATATATAGTTAAATGTCTAAATCACCCCTAGAAAAGCTAAGTCTTCTTCACCAATGTTATTTTAATAATAATTATTTTTGTAATAATATGTGGGTGGGGGTGGCTTTACTGACTTAATGCACGGGTGAAATCATTTGGCTGCCATCTGGATAAAAACAATTTAGAGCCTTCTTGTATGAATCTAATACTCTTCTATTAACGGGTTGGTAAAATGTTCTCGCATAAGTTTAAGAGTTGAGATTTCACCCGTGTGAGTTAACCCAACAGATGACGGAAGCTGGAAGAAGGGCCTAGTTAACGGGTCGTTTGCTAAATCGCCACCACGTCGGAAGGTGGAAACTTGCACCGGTGAAGTATTTACCCCCTGGTTTTGCTTTCAAGGCCAGGCTTTCTCGAGGGTGTTTAGAAATATAGTGGTTTTTTAAAATAATTTTTATTTTTAAATTTATTAAAATAAAAAAATTTATTTTTTAAAATTTATTTTTAACATTAAAATATTAATAAAATATTAAAATAATATGAAGATATAAAAATATATTATTATTTTTTTGGGAAAAAAAAACTTTTAGCAACCACTGTGAAGCCGACTTCTGTCACTTTCATCCATCGGATAAGGCGCCTCTTAAACGCATGAAATAGATGGGCAATAGCCAATCTAACCACGACCACACACCACGCCTTTCAGATTCCATCTCCTTCACGCAACCGGAATTCTAGGCGTTTGACATCTTAGATTTTTTTTTTTTTTAAATTTTAGATTCCAGCATTTTAAAATATTTTTAAAAAATAAATATATTTTTAAAAAATCTGTAAATAAAAGCTATTGTATTTCCAAAGTTACCCTCAAACGCCTAAACTAAAGAAACATGATCTTCTCCCATCCAAATTAAATTAAAATTTAAGCAAGAAAGACATTTACTGTGAATATTTGTGCGAAATAAAGTATACCATGTTCGATAAAAAAATAAGAACATGTTTCTACATGAACCCCAAGACCCGCAGGTTGCTACAATATGTGGGCTAAAAGAGAGAGAGAGAGAGAGAAGAAATTAATGCGTAGGAAGATGGGAAAACTCTCGGATTAACTTGAGAGGGCTAAAGACGCGTGATTCATTAAAAAATTAAAAGAATTAGACAAGGCTTAAGTGAGACTTGTCTTCTTTACAAGCCAAGGATTAAGGCAAGAAAGTGATTGATTATATAGTTAATTAGCTTGGAGTGCCTTATGGGCAATGAAATGAACAGGTATTAGTCCAGAGGTGGGCTAGCTATCTATACCGGTGAGATGGGTTGCCTAATATGGTCTTACCTAAGTCTAACAATCAAAAACGTGTTCATATTAATGACAGAGATTACACCCATAATTTTTTTTAAAAATATTATTTTTAACATGGTGTATCAAAACTATGTACAAATATGAAAAAATAATTTAAAATTAAAAAAATATGATTTTAACTTCATTTTTAAACAATATCATAATTACCATAACTGAAGTAACACTCAAGCCCTATCCCATACAAAAGTTATATGATCCATAAATTTAATGTTATTTTACATGATTTTACATGAAGGTCTAGACTATTAACTCGAAATCTAACCCAAGTTTTCATAGTGGGAGTTATCTAGACAAAACCAACATGACTTAATTAATCTATTTAAAATATAATAAAATATGATTTGATTTTAAATAAAAAATGATGTTATTTTAATTTATTTCTAAAAAATATTTAAAATATATAATTTTATATTAACTTTTGTTCATCCACCCAGTACGTAATCTAAGTCTTCGTCAGCCAAATTATATAAACATGTAAAAGACATCAAGGTCAGCCTTAAAAAATTAAGATAAAAAAAAGTGGAATTCTATCTGTAAACGATGTAGATGTGGGACACTAGAATTCCTTTGTTAATTTCTATAATATTGTATTTTTATATTGCAGTAATTTTTTTAAAATAATATTTTTGATTTGAAAAAATATTAAAAAAAATATTTTTGAATATTTTCTTATAGTTTTAATATACTAATATAAAAAATAAAAATATTATAAAAAATATCATTTTAATATATTTTTAATTAAAAATATTTTTAAAAATCACAGGTTGCAACTTTATAATATCCACGTTGGTGAATCCATAAAACACGTCTGTACATTAATTAGGTCACGCTGTCCACCTAAATGTCTTGTCTCGTAGTAAAATATCAAGTGACTCGATCAACTAATTAATATTTTTGATAATGACATAATTTTGTTTGCACTGTACACAAAATTTTAGTTAAATACTAATAGGTTTATCCATTTTTTTAAAAAAAAAACATGGATACGAAGAAAATTTTCAATTAAAGAACGAAAAGATGATATCCATACCTAATAAAATTAATTTAAAAATGATATAGTAAATCATAAAAAAAAATCAACATTAATTAAAGAATTTTGAATTTCTTTTACTTCAAATAATTCTTTAAATATTTTTGAATTATTTTAATATGCTGATATTAGAAATAAATTATAAAAAATTATATATATATATATATATAATTTAAATATATTAAAAAATAAATAATATTTTAAAAGTAACTGTTATTACCATCTCAAATCTTAAATTTTTATACTAGCAAACAAATTTAACCAAACCAAGTTAAATTATGAAAATTATTTAAACTTTAAATTGAGAAATTATTTAGACTTCAAATTGAAATGGGAATTGAATTCAAATATTAATTTATCTAGTTTTATGTATTAAATATCATCAATTACAATTTACACCAATTACATTAATGATTGAAGACGTGCCTTTCCCTTAAAAATGAAGGTTTAGTTCAAGTAGTGAGTAGGTAGCGGGTAGATTCCTTGTGTTACTGATTAAACGTTGAATCAACTAAAGATTAATAGATTTTTTCTTATTATTATTATGAACCCATCAGTCTTACTTTAAATGATTTATAATTTATCATATCCGAGAGTTTTAATCAAGGATTTACTTCATTCTTTGTTTTTTTTAATATTCAAATCTTAGAGTTAGTATTAAGAAAACTTCTTAAATCCTCTTAAATCAATAAGTGTGAAATGTACATTTAAAATTAATTAAAAATAAATTTAATTTTACTCGAACACGTAAATCTAATGAAGTCAAAAAAAAAAATTATTATCGATGTAAGAACTTGAATGAAAATACATAGGCCCTCGAGGTAGGTGAGCTCCCAATTTTTCATATGCTATCATTTATACAGATTTATCAGTATCCCAACAACGTGTACGATTAATCAAACTGCATTGCATGCAATTCGAACACCTAACGAGAGAGAGAGAGAGAGAGAGAGAGTCTATAATTAAATGCTGCAGTTGGATGGTGCAGTGGTGCAGTTGTGTTGATTCAAAGAGAGAACGCAAAGGCACAGATAGATAGGAGAAAGGACACAGACAAGCCTTTATATATTAACCAAACAAGACCCTCAAGCTAAAAAATCCGTAAGAGAAACATGTTTAAGATCGAATTGTAAGTGCTCCTCTCAAGATTGAAGACTTCATGAGTGGGTTGAGGGTCTTGAAGAGGAAAGGGAGGGAAAATATTGATCAAACCCAGAAGAAAGAAGCTGCAGTAGTGTTTGATTCTTGCAAAAGTAGTGGAGCAATCCAGAAGATGAAGAAAGATGACGAGAGTCAAAGCAAAGGTAAGAAAACGTGTGATTTAGTGTCGTTTTGGGAGCTGCCAGAGTACATGAAGGACAATGAGTTCATCTTGAGTTACTACAGAGCAGAATGGCCTCTCAAAAAAGCTCTCTTCAGCGTTTTTCGTTGGCATAATGAAACTCTCAATGTCTGGACGTAAGTAATTATTATTTTATTTTTTTCTGATTTTGAGGGCCCGTTTTGAGCTTGATTATAGTGTTAATTAGTCGTGATTAGTTTTTTTAATGGATTTTTCCGGGGTTTAATTGTTTTATAATTAAAATATTTTTTGGGTTTTAATTTAATTATATATTCGCAGGCATCTTCTTGGTTTCTTCTTGTTTGTGGGGTTGACTGTGGCAAATTTAATGCAAGTGCCTCAGGTTGCTGATCTGCTCGGCTTGTTTACCTGGTAATTTGTTATGGAAATATTTCGTTTTTTTTTTTAATCGATATGAAAACAATGTACCAATTACTAGTTATAAAGAAAAATCCAAGAATGTTATGTGAACTCTCCATTCTTCTTGTAATAAAGAAGGGATTGGTAGAAATTTTATTACTTCATTTTGATTCCCTTTTCTTTGATTTATCTGTACTTTTTTTTAATAGCAATTACTAATTTATTTGAGACCTTGAAAATTGGTAGTCAGTTCTAATGAAACCCACTAAACCTTAATTAAACAACTATTTGGAAATAAGAAGGCAATCAAGAGGAAGAAAGGAAAATTAAAGAATCAATGGAGGACTCCATGTTAGTGTCCTGCTAGTGGTCTATCACCACACTGTTTTGCTGTCAAACCCACAAAACAAACCTCTTCTACAATAAAAAAGACAGCATAAGTAAAAATATACAGGATGGAAGTAAGTGAACTTTATAGTTGTAGCAGTAAAGCCTGCCTTGAAAGTTTTATTATACACTGATGTATGCCATGGTTTTTCAAACTTTGATTCAGTTTTGATTTTACAACGTCTAATGTTTTTCACTTTTGCTAGACATTAACGTGAGAAAGATTCAGTTTGATGTTCAACTTCCAATGTTTTTGCTTCACTTTTACTCATTAATGTTTTCCGGTGATGTTTAATATCTGAAAGACTGAAACCTTACGCTCCAAGATCAATGAACTTTCAGAAAAAAGATTCTCATCCCTCAGCTTTAAGAATATGATTCTCCCTTTTGCTTAAAACACCATACTTTTAAAACTTTTATTTGTTAAGAACAAAGAATTAATCAAACCATCGAACGAATATACATACATACATACATACATATATATATATATATATTTATGTATTTTCTTACGATATAAGTTTTAAAAGTCTGGTGTTTTTAAGCAAAGAGAGAATCATGGCTTACATCAGTATATAAAACTTTTAAGGCAGACTTTACTGCTACAATTACAAAATTCACCTACTGCCATCTTGTATATTTTTACTAATGCTCTCTTTTTTATTGTAGAAGAAGTTTGGTTTGTGGGTTTGAAAGCAAAAGCGCGTAGTGATAATCCGCACACTACTAGACCACTAGCAGGACACCAACATGGAGTCCTCCATTGATTCTGATTCTGTGGTGATATCCTGTAGCTCTGTGGTTAATCAACATTCTAATTCTGAATATATAGAAGTCAGAGTGAATGAACATGTTTTTATATCTTCACTCTTTTTTTTCTTGTTTGCTATATTTTCTTGGAAAATTGAAGATTGGTGGCTGTTTTTTTTTTTAATTGTGCTCACAATTTTTATTTATTTGTGTTTGAGCCAATGCATGACCGGTAAGAGGAATTGTAGCTGTTAGGGTTTGCTTAAATTTCTTAAGATAAATATTCGTGAAAATTTATGTGTATGGGTTCTTTTTTGAAGAAAATTTCTGTTATATTATTGTCATTTTTTCATCTCAGGAAATCAAGAAATATCATTGTCCAAGTAAAATGCAGGAAAACTTGTGTTCCTTTAAATCATCTCCATTTGCAATTGAAATTGCTAGCCTTACAATATTGTTTTCAGGTCAATTTTTACTAGTGCACAAAGAAATGTTTCTAATGATTCAAAGGATTTCTACTTGGTAAGTTGCCTCATATTACATTAGGGACACATTCCTCTACTCCAGTTGTGAATTGATTTCAAATTAACTCCAAAAATTGTTGCAGGGGACAACAGAACTGCTTGATCTGGGCCACAATTTACCGATGAAAACAGATGTTTCATCGTTAGGAATGCCAGCAACCCGGTGGCCATTCTATGTATTCTTAGGTGGCTCTATGTTCTGCCTCCTCTCAAGTAGCATTTGCCACCTCTTTTCTTGCCATTCACACAGCTTGAACATTCTGTTGCTGCGAATAGACTATGTCGGCATTGTTATGATGATCATCACCTCTTTTTTTCCTCCAATGTATTATATCTTCCAATGTGAACCACATTGGCAATTTATCTACCTTGGTGGTATCACAGTAATGGGAATGTTCACTATCGTGACGCTACTTTCTCCACCGCTATCAACCGGAAAATTTCGTGCTTTTAGAGCCATGCTGTTCGCTTCCATGGGATTATTCGGCCTTATCCCTGCAGTCCATTCTGTAATTGCCAATTGGGGTAATCCCAAGCGTGATACTATTGTAGCTTATGAGTCTGCCATGGCTATATTTTACTTGACTGGAGCCGGGTTGTATGTAAGTAGGTTTCCAGAGAGGTTGAAGCCTGGACTGTTCGACCTAACAGGACACAGTCATCAGATTTTTCATGTTTTTGTGGTATTGGGAGCATTGGCTCATTATGGTGCCACACTTTTATTCTTGGAGTATCGTGATCTTGTGGGATGTGAAGTAAACCTATAATATGTATGAATCAAGATTAATGTGTATGTTGAATGTTTTGGAATTGTAATTTCCTCTGATCAATCCAATCTCATGAACTGCTTTACCAGATAAGACAAAGTAGCTGAGTGAATCCAAAATTTCTGCCCTTATTTGGACATTTGACATGGTGCATGAATCAAAGGCCAGCAAGCTCAAGAAAGTTAGTGGTCCAAGACTCGTATCAGCTCCAATTCCAGAAATTCATAGGAATCCCTTCTTTAATAGGCTCCTTGTCTATAAAATATAAGGCCTTTTGGGCAATCAAATTCATTCCTTCATTACACATGCCTCAACTTGAAGTTAGGTGCCTCCATTACAGGTTGAATCAAAATAATCATGTTCGAAGAGAAATTATTACAGGCAAAACAATTAAATTATTCAATCAAGGTTAACTGGGTACATTCCCAATAACCATTGGGTCAAGGTCTTATTTTTACTGTACTTTTCCACTGCATGACCATCTTCAATTCACAAGCCCTGATCTTTTCTACCAAAGTTTCTACAAAAGAATTACATAGCAAATAGTGATTATGTTTTTCCATCTTTGTAATAAAGAAGAGTGAAAGCAAAGAATTCTAGGAATAGAAGCTAATTAGTAAGCCATGGCAGCCTTCAACTTGGACAAATTATGCTTAATACTTGCAGCTTTTCTTTTTCTCCTCCTTCTCTTTCCATTGGGTGGTCAGCACCATCTCACCCTACTCTTCTCTTCTTTCAATCCCATTAAAGCCAACAGCTCAACAACACCACTAGAAGCACCAGTACTACTGGATGCATTTGCTTCAACCTCCATCAATACAAGCGATGAAGATGAGCCCAAGACTCATAAAGTGAGCAGTGTCGAAAGTTTTTATAGCTTTATGTGCATGTTAGTGTCCAAACCTTTGCTGGTTGGTTTTTGTGATAATTTTTTCTTGAGATTTTCACTTTCACATTTTCTGTGAATAGAAAAGGAGTAGCCTGGAGAGAGTGGAAGAGGGTTTATCTAAGGCTCGTGCAGCTATTCAAGAAGCTATTCGTTCGAAGAACTACACATCACACAAGAAAGAGACCTTCATCCCCAAAGGATCGGTATACTGGAACTCCCATACTTTTCTTCAGTTGAGCCTCCAAGGAAGCTTTAAATTTTCTCTTGAATGTTAGGCATCGCACCTCTAGAATATTTCTTGACATGGTATTTGTGCCACATTCAATAGATAAACATCGATTGAAGTATCTCTATGGCTATAAAATTAGAAAATTATTAAAGGGTAAAAAAAAAAAATTCTTTTTTCTCTTTTCGTTTCTTTTAGGAAAAGCAGGGACAATTGACCATCTTTTTGCCTGATTGCCTTTCGGTACAATAACAGGAGCCATATAGAGATGGTGAAGACATTCAAGGTGTGGCCCTACAAGGAAGGAGAGAGGCCCTTGGTCCATGATGGCCCTTTAAACAACATCTATTCCATTGAGGGCCATTTCATCGATGAGGTCGAAAGCAAGGGGAGCCCATTCAGGGCCCAAGATCCTGAAGAGGCCCATGTATTCTTCCTCCCCTTTAGTGTAGCTTTTATCATGCACTTCATCTACTTGCCGATCACGGCGGCGGCGGATTACTCTCGTGATCGCCTCCCCCGGGTTGTGACGGATTACGTTCACATTGTTGCCAAGAAGTATCCTTACTGGAAAAGAAGTAACGGTGCCGATCATTTTATGGTTTCGTGTCATGATTGGGTAAGCATAATACTCCTGCACCATTATGGTTTGGGGTGACTTTCCTGTAGTACATTTTCCTGAGCTAAAACACTCGCACCGTCTTGTTCTCATTTCAGGCACCTGATGTATCAATCGCCAATTCTGAGCTCTTCAACAAATTCATTAGAGTCCTCTGCAATGCCAACATCTCTGTAGGGTTCCGGCACCCGAGAGATGTCCCTTTACCGGAGATTTACCTTCCCCCTTTTCAGGCCTTGGTCCAACCCATATGGGGCGGGCTCCAAACAACCGCCCAATTCTAGCATTCTTTGAAGGTAGGGCTCCTAGGTATATCAGACAGGTCTTATTCAAGCATTGGAAGAACAAAGATAACGAAGTTCAAGTCCATGAGCTGCTTCCAAAGGGCAAGAATTACACAAGACTAATGGGTCAAAGCAAGTTTTGCTTGTGCCCTAGTGGATCTGAAGTGGCAAGCCCTAGAGTTGTGGAAGCAATTTATCAAGGATGTGTGCCTGTGATAATTTCTAACAACTATTCATTACCGTTTAGTGATGTCCTTAATTGGAGTCAATTCTCAGTACAGATCCCAGTTGAGAAGATACCAGAAATCAAGATGATCCTGCAAAGAATTTCTAACAGCAAGTACTTGAGAATGCATGAAAGAATCAAGAGAGTTCAGAGGCATTTTGTGCTCAACCGACCAGCTAAACCATTTGATGTTATCCACATGGTGCTTCACTCGTTGTGGCTCCGGAGGTTGAATTTTAGGTTGTCAGATTGATCAAACTGTTCATTTTACCTGCTTCTTCCTCTTTCCTCTTTTTTTTCCATAGCTCTGGGCTGCCTCTTGTTTCAATTAACTTGTTTGCGAAATATTTTGGATATTTTATGCGGTTTCTTTTTCCACGCGAGAAACTCTGAAGTATATACATAAACTTTTTATATGAATATAATTCCTAAATATGAATTTGAGCACACATTCTTGGGAATTCGAACTCATAACTTCATCAGATAAATTAGTTGAAACATTCATTTGCATTTACAAAAATAAGGTTGCACTGCTTTTAAAAAAAAAATAGTCTATTTTTCACCTTAGTGAATCCCAGTACCTAATGCACGCCTCACAATTAATTTTACATGAAATGCTAATAAAAAGTGTGTTTAATATTATGATAATTTTTATGGTAGTGATTTAAAAAAATAATTATAAAAAATAATAAAAAAGATATAGTTTTATTTACATTCATCAATATAGATAATTGTTGTTTGTAAATTTCAACAAAATAACTTACTAAGTATTAGACAGAGCAACTATGACTGGAGTTGAGGTCCCTATAATATGTAGAGAAATGACAAAAACATGAGAAGAGGAATCATTGTTTTGCTTTGCAAGAGAGATGGTTTGTTGATGTGGAAAGGAGCCATTGACAGCAACCTGTGTATGGCCGGTCGAAGATGATGTAACACTAGTTTGGTGGGGGGAGAAGTAAGTGAAAACAGAGTCTATTAGAGAAAGGAGTTTTAATGTGTTAAGATTCTAACTCCAAGTTAAAAAGAAATAGAAGGTTTAACTTATTAGTTAAACAATATTTTTTATTTATACATGTTGAATAATATACAATAATTAACATAGAGATTGTAATACTAAAATAATCCTTTATATATATATATATTGATCGATAAAAATTCATAAAAACAAGTATTCAAGTTAAAAAATTTAATTCAATACATGTTTTTAATTAGAAAAAATAAGATACAAATACCATGTAAGTGTCACTAACTCTTTGTATTTTCTAACTATTAAAGAATTGAATATATAATACTCGTGTGAGAAACATCAAAATAAATCCAATTGTATAATATACAAAGATTTTACCGTGTTAATTTCTACCTAATTCTTTTAAAAACTAATATTACATAGAAAAAAGAAAGCTTAAAAGTACTTATATAGTCATTAACTTCAGGATCTGTGAGATTAGTCACAATACATGCAAACTAGCCCGAACACTCATGTTAATCTAAAAAAAAAGCTTAAAAGTAAATAACAGAAAACTTGTATTCCTTCTTGGAAGGTAGGCCTTTTGGAAAAAAAAAAGAATGAATGAAAGGTTAATGCTAGGCAATAAAGCTAAAGGCCTGTAAAACTAAGAAGGTAGGCATACACCCACTACAAGCACCGTCATATCATTATATATATATGAGTTCAGATAATTAAATAAATGAACGGTGGAAGCCTTCAATGTGGATTTTACGTAAAGGGTTGGGGAATCAATGCCAGAAAAGAAGCAATAATTTGCGGCCATAAGGTATAAAGCCAAAAGATGGAGATCAATCAAAACATTGAATCATCAACATTATAATCTCCACGAGGATTATGGGAGACCGTTTTCCATGATGCAGTTTTTACCACTGCATGGGTCCGTAGAGTCCTCTATAAAAGCTTGAGCCTCCTCCCTATCCTCTACAACAATTGATCGGCATTTATATTTTGATATTAAGTTGGGGTTGTCCTTCAGATGTTGATGGTTTTAGTGACGGTGGTTTCCCTGCAAGGATGGCTGCCTCTTGATTGCTTGGAGGAAGAGAGAATCGCTCCGTTGCACCTCAAAAATGCTCTTAACCATCCCAATGGCACATCCCTACCCTCCTGGATAAAAGGCGACGCCCACTGTTGCTCTTGGGAAATTAAGTATTGCGTGCAGCAACAGTATAGGTCGAGTCACCGTACTCGCTCTTGACAGCATAAGAAACTGGGAACTGGGAGATTGGTACTTAAATGACTCCTTGTTTCTTCCTTTTCAAGAACTCAACGCTCTCTCTTTGCCAGCTAATCGCATAGCTGGTTGGGTTAAGAACAAAGATTTGCTCGTATCACAAAATATTTAGATTAGTCTTTTTAAATTAATCAAATAAGGTGTTGTTTAATTAGTATCATTGTGTGCTTCTCTACATTAATTCATCGAAGAAAATAGAAATCATATTTGAATGAATTATTGTGTTTAGTGAATAATCTTAACAAACAAAACAGATTCTTAATTCCTTACATTATTAATATAATCATACCACCACCACCATCATGCTTATTATTACATTACAAATATCACCTTTATTATTATAATCATGATACCAGACCGTCACTGTAACAATTACTCCTTTTATTTTCACTCTTTCACCACCTCAATCTCTTTATATAAAGTCACTCTAACAATGACATGTCTCTTCATCATCAATCATAATTAAATTACTCTAATAATATCATTTTTTATTCTTTACATGAAATCTTAGTTTTTTATTTTTTATATAGGTGGTTATGAATAGCATAGATTGAGCAATTTGGAGCACCTTAAATTGACATGGAATCACTTTGATAACAGTATTTTATCACATGTGAAGGGATTTTCATCTCTTAAATCATTATACTTAGGTATAATAGACTTAAGGGGTTAATAGATTTGAAAGGTTAGTTTTTTTATATACTTATCTTTTCTCTATTAAATTCAGTTTAAAAAAAAAACACAATTTATGTTTTGTAATGAATTAATTAACTATTATTTTTATAAATATCAAGAATGTTAGGGCAGCTTGGAGTTGAGCAGCAACAATATTAACAATATTAACAAATTAGTAGCCTTAAGAGGTAATTTATAATATCACAACCTGTGAAAGTAGCTTCCAATTACTGCAATCATTAAGAGCATTCTCAAGATCACGACACTTGATCTGAGCTCCAAAGATTTTAGAGGAAAAATATCAAGTAAGTTATATATTACATATAGTGATGTTTATATATTTGAGTTTAATTAAAAATTTTAATTTGCTAATTTTGTAAAATTTGAGTCCAAAGAGTTGTATCCGGATCGTTATCTAAATAGAATTTCTCTTTTATATTTTTGCAAATTATTAAACATATCTGGGAGAATTCTCAAATAGATTAAAATTTAAATTCATAACATCAATTAAATATTAAATTTACAAATTAACTCAACTAAAATATTTATTATTCTAAAAGTATACCATTCATTTAATATAAATAATGTTTCAATTCAATTTTGGCCCTCTCTCAACACTATTTCAATGTAATATAAATAGAAATATAAGTTAAAAAACAATAATTCTTTAATGAAAAGATAACTTTGTATATAGAAAGTGCTATTTTTGAGAGGAGAATAAATTAACAATAGCATTTTGCTTTGTTGTCTGACATATCAAAATTCCTTCTTTTAATTAGACTCTACAATTTCTACACATCCCTTTCCATTTTTTTGTTTTTCTTTAGCCATAATTAATAAGTAGCGAATTATTGTATTTAATAGCCTCTTATGAGAGTTAAACAAAGAAATCATGGGAGACTTTGTTTAATATTAATCTAATTTTTTAAAAAAAATTAGAAACTTATTATAAGTTAATTAAATTAAAAAATAAAAAATATATAAAAAAAGACTTTGTTTAATATTAATCTAATTTTTTTTAAAAAATTAGAAACTTATTATGAGTTAATTAAATTAAAAAATAAAAAATAAAAAATACATAAAAAACATACATTATCCAACAAATAATCAACCAGAACAACATGTTGTCCAACTGCCCACCACCAAAACTAGCAACTTATTAGCAATTTGCTTACTATAGCAAATTGACCAATAAAAGAGAATTAAATTTTAAATTTAAAAATCAACTCAATTAAGATTCTTTTTTATTCATTTAATAGGTTGCTTCTTTCTGACTCTTTCATTTTCTTTATAATTTTAATTGCTTCTATGCTAATATAATCTCTTATTTAATTAATTATAGTAGGCTTCCTTGATCTTAAGAACTTGGAATATTTGGATTTGAGTTACAATACTTTAGACAATAGCATATTTCAAACCATCGGTAAGGTTGATTACTTTTTTTGTTTCTAAGTTATATATTTTCCATTAGATAAACAGAGTTTTAATTTTTTCTAAATTATAATGTGATCAGGCCTATTTGACTTAAATCATCTTTAAAGGCTATTAATGAGTTATAGTGATCTTAGTGGTGTCTTACTTTCGTGTCTAGCAAATTTGACTTCTTTGCACCTACTAGATCTCTTATACAATCACATGAAGATCCCTATGTCATTGAACCTATTATACAACCGTTCAAAACTCAAGTATTTTGATGGTTCAAGTAATGAAATACACGCAAAAGAAGATGATCATAATCTGAGCCCAAAGTTCCAATTAAAGTCCTTCTCTTTAAGTAGTCGTGGACAAAGTGCTGGAGCATTTTTCATATTTCTTTACCATCAGATGAATTTAAAATCTTTGGGTCTTACAATACTTGGATTAAAGGGAGAGTTTTCAAATTAGTTGATTGAGAACAACACATACTTACAATATCTTTTTATAAAAAATATTTTTTTTTCAGTTTTATTTTTATTGCCAAAGAATTCTCATGTGATTTTATTATTCCTAATAATATCCATGAATTACCTCCAAGGCCAAGTCACATAAAAAATAGGAGCTTATTTTCCAAGGTTAAAAGTTTTATGGATGTTTGATATTGATTTTAATGGAAACATTCCTTTCTCGTTGGGTAACATGAGCTCACTGCATATGTTAGACTTGTCCAACAATGTTTGGAATGGAAGAACACTTTTGAACAATGATTTGCAAGCACAGTTCCTTAGATGGTTAGGGAATATATCATCTCTTGAATTTTTAGACCTATTAGGGAATAATTTCTCTAGTCCTTTACTACCTAGATTCAACACTTCTTCAAAATTGAGGTATGTTTAGTTGTCTAGAAATAAGTTGTAAGGACCAATTTCAATGGTATTTTACGATGCTTTTGAGATAATGACATTAGATCTTTCCCATAATAATTTAACTGGTACAATTCCAGAATGGATTGACAGACTATCTAACTTGAGATTTCTACTCTTGAGTTATAACAATCTTAAAGGTGAGATTCTAATTTAATTATGCAAGTTTGACTAGTTAACCTTGATTGATCAATCTCACAATTATATTATTGGTAACATCCTTAATTGGATGATATCTACTCATCCTTTTTCCAACATAAAAGAATTACAAAGATTCTCTGTCCTTATCACAACAAACTTTTGAGTTTATAGCAAATAATGTATCTCCTTCCTTATAAAGGTAGCATTCTGCATTGCTTCACAAGAATTCATTTGTCATGCAACAATTTCACAGGAGAGATTCCTCATGAAATTGAAAATCTTGGCAAGATCAAACTATTAAACCTTTCACACAATAGGTTGAATAGAATAATTCCCTCAACATTTTCAAATTTAACGGAAATAGAGAGCTTGAATCTTTCCTACAACAAACTACATGAAGAAATCCCACATCGACTTACTGAGCTATTTTCTCTAAAATTCTTCAGTGTGGTGTATAATAATCTGTCTGACAAAACCCCTACAAGAGTTGCAGAATTTGCTAGTTTTAAGAAGGGCTACTATAAAGACAACCTTTTTTTTTGTGGAAAATCGCTACCCAAAATATGTGGTGCAGCTATGCCACCATTACTAACACCAACTTCAACGAACAATGAAAGATAATGGTGGCTTCATGGATATGAAGGTTTTATATGTAAGTTTTGGGGTTGCATACATAATGGTGCTATTAGTGATATGTGCAGTTTTGTATATAAATCCATATTGGTGACAAACTTGGTTTCACTTTATTGAGGTGAGCATCAATTATTGCTTATTATTTTCTAGTGAAAAATCTTTCCATTTTATCCAAGTTTGGATTTTCATAGCCTTGATGGTACTAAGACTTGGTGCACTGTTGTGTATTCTAGTTTTAAGATTTAACCAAGTTTAAAGGCTTGCTTAAGTGGTGTTGTATTAATTTTCATTTTGTTTTGTTTTTCTTTTTAGCTTTTGTATGACATAATACTTAAATTTCTTCATTGGTTAATCCAAGCAAGTATTTTCAGTTAGATTTGGTGGCATTTTATTTAGCCCTCATAATACTTTTCATCATTTTCATACCTTATATATGATATTATTATTGGATTTTTATGCATGATCAATTCAAATCTACAATACAATATTATTGTTAAAAACAAAAATTTACATTATCTTCTTATACTGAATTCATCAAGGAATATGGATTGTCTTGGTTTTTTTTTTTGAGGTACCTAATATTTTTTGAAGTTGCAACTGATCTAAAGGCAAAGTTGTCCTAAAAGAATTTCAGTAATTAAGCTTACATGATATACTCACATATTAAGCACTTTATGTTAAAGTTGCTTCGTTTGTTGGAAAACAAAATTTCTCTCCTCGGTCATATTGAAAATAAAAACATTGTCTAAGATCACAAGTATCACTCCTAACACATGACAAGGCCTCTCTATCAACATCTTAATAGGTCTATTTGATGTCAAAGAAACAACATTCAGTGATGTTGAAATATGATGGATGAAGGAAAGTCGTTATATTAAACTAATTAAATCATTAGTTTTCATATATGTTTATAAAAAAATAATATCTATAATCTGAAAAAAAAAAACCATATAATTAGTCCTTTTTTTTAATGAAAAGTAATCCTTCCCAATCTTCCCAAGCTTTTCCATGCAGGCTCAGAGCATCACTCTAAGCATTCCCATCAACCTTTTAGTCGTGTCAAAGAGTTTTCAAAGCAATTCCTTTTTCTTTATTTTTTTAGCCATTTCATGTATTATGATGACCGGTTGTATTGTTTTTTTTTTTTAGTTTTCCTCTCATGTAGTATTATCTTTTTCTGGAAATTATTTTATATCATATCATAAAGAATTTGGAAAATACAATGTGTGGACAATCTGTATATATATATATTCACCATTATATTTTTTTTCCAAAAGTATCTAGGTTAACCCAACATGGTGAGACGCCAATTTCCCTAGTCCAATTCATATTAAATGCTAGATAAATGCACAATCATTTCAGTCCCTGAAAGTATTTCACCAAGGTAATTAAGACCCGCAATTTCTGATTCACACATAGGATCAACAAGGTTTTTGTTTGCATTAGAGACGGTAAAAAGATTCAAGATATGGGTAGGAAGCCCATGGTCCACAGTGGGCCTATGAAACACATCTATTCCATAGTGGGCCAGTTTATCTATGAAATGGATAATGGGAAGCGCCCATTTGGCCCGTAATTCTGATGAGGCCCATGCATTTTTTTTACCACTTAGTGTGGCTTCCATTGTTGAGTCCATCTACTTGCCGATCACCACCTAGCGCCGTGAAAGACTGGTAAGAATCTTCTGTCCTTGAAAATCAACTACATGTAACTTAAGATCCCGAACAAAATGCATTTTAATATAAACAATTATTAAATTAGTGGTGATTGTACATTTGGAATATTTATGCATTTTTAATTTAATTTCAGGCACCACAAATCTCAAGAGATGATCCTAAGCTACACAAAAATCTGCCCCCCATTAAAACTCAGTCCAATCTGCCATGGCTTATCCCGTGATGAACGCAAGATCTTGGTCTTTTTTGCAGGTGGGGCGCACGGAGACATAAGCAAAATCTTGCTTAAACAGTGGAAGGAAAAGGATAATGAGATCCACGTTCATGAATACCAACCAAAGTATCAAGATTAATTACATGAAATTAACGAGACAGAACAGGTTTTTTTTGTTCCCAAGTTCATGAAATTAAACCGTCCTGAAATCTCTTTGAAAAATTTGAAGCTATTCAACAGTTAGATTTTCTGTTATTCCTATTTTAAGTCAGATTGTACCCATTTGAACAACTTCTTAGCACGCTTTTATTTATCAGTTTGATCAATAAAATCCTGATATAATTGTTGCGCGTAAAAAATTTCATCGTACTGGACAATATTCTCACAAATCAAAATGAAAGGCCCTGAACAAGTCAGTAAGGAAAGAAAAGGTCTGATTTTCTTTTATTGACAGCTTCTATGTTAGCATTTATAAACCAAGATGTTCAATTCCTTAAGTTTTTAAGTTTAAATTCTTTAACCACTGCAAGTTATTAAATTTCTCAGAGAGTATACGTCCCTTGTCAATGTAGAGACGTGCACTGGCCTAAAGAAGCTAGATCATGGATTACTCACAATCAAAGGAAGATTTATATATAATTCATCTTCATAGAGCATAACAAGGAAAATTATTTTTTCAAAATAAAAGGAGCTGAATGCTTGGCATGCCTTTTCTTCTTTTCGTAGTTGTATCGAACAAATTTTTAAGGTGTTAAATTTCGAATTCGAAATTTCCTCCATCAATTTCTTGCATGATTTACTCCCAAGTCAAATATGGAAGTCCAACTTTCCACTTTTCAACACTATCACCACGTTCAATCTTGTGTCTAAAGATACAATTAACCGACTCCCAGATAGGAAAGAAAAAAAAAGAAAAAAAAACCTTTCTAGCACCAGCTTGCCGCCGATTCTATGGGGCTGTAATGATTGATTGTCACAAACCGTCACTCTAGCTTTGCTTTCTTCTCGGTAATTTACTTCTGTGCGTATATATTCTTATTAACTCTTCGTTGGGAATACTTCTGTAGACACCACGATTCTCCTCCCTCTCCCTGTGTGTTTATGTTAGAAGAGAAGAAAAAAATTTAAACCGCCATGGAAACTATATGTAATGGCTCTAACATTGGTTTTATGCTACTGCCGGTTGTTGTTCTCGCTTTGCTTATTGTCTACTTTAGTTCTCCCTTGAACCAGAATAGTACCAATACTGTGGGATATTTTTCTTCGTTTTCTACATCAAATACTGTCTATACTAAAGCTAGCGAGCTTGTTTTTGAAAGCTCTCAACCCTCTCCTTCACAGCCACACCAGTTGCCAACGCAGGTTAGTCTCTTTGGCGATTTTTATTATCCAATATACTTTGTTTTTTCTTATTTTTTTCATGATTTGTTTTAGCACCACTACAAGTCATGAACTGATTAACGAATATTTTGAGATTATATATATATATGTAGTGCTGTTCATTGATTTATGTTTTTGGTTATTGATAAACAAGTTCTCAATATTTTGTGGGCAGATAAAGAGAGGCAGAGAGAAGATTGAAGATGGCTTGGCTAGAGCAAGAGCAGCTATTCTCGACGCGGCACGGATGAGAAACTACACATCATACAAGGAAGGAACTTACATTCCCAAAGGGGTCATATACAGAAATCCTTACGCTTTTCATCAGTTAAGTTTTGCTATCAATCTACCCTACACACATTGCCCTTAGCATTACCCTTTTTTTCTTGCTTTCAAATTGTAATTGTGATAACCCTCCAAGATTTCTACTCGTTTAACATGAATGAATGTGATATGCATAACACGAAATCCCTCACCCGTTATATGGATTCCATTTTACCCTCTTTTTTCTTTTCTTTTTTCCTTTCATATTTCAATATTTTATGGACTCCATCATGTAAAATTCCACGTACGTTGAGAGCAGCTACCTTGAGATCAAATTAAAGATGAAGGAAGAAATAATGGCGTGAGAGATTTTTTGTGCCATTAGGTTGTGTGCTGACACTAATGTTGATTGGAGTAATTAAATAAATTTCCTTTAAAACATTGAGTGGTGAATCCACTAGTGTATTACCTTGTATAATATTCCTCAAATTTGGTTATTTATGACGACGTTCTTGTAATGCTATAATTTTGTAACTGTAACAATGTCTATTCATTATAGGTTTTGAATTGATATGTTGTGCCTGTTACCCTACCTTGGACGTTAAGTTTTGTGGGAGTAGGTAGAGATTAATTTAGAGGACGAGCTAGGGATGGTCCTGTTCCTCTTTGAAAATTTTCTAAAATTACATCTCAACTTGTAGAAATTAACTTTGAAAATATCCTTACAAATTAATTGTAACCTGGAGTAGGGGTCGGGTTTGAATGTGGTCCTCATAGCCAGTCGTTATCCACAAGACGTTTATGATATTAACTTTGAAAATATTCTTACAAATTAATTGTAACCTGGAGCAGGGGCTGGGTTTGAATGTGATCCTCATAGCCAGTCGTTATCCATAAGACGTTTATGATATGCTATGATACTTAGCAATTTACAAGGCTTGAACTGTGGAAGTGTTGCCTCTTGCAAGGTGAAAAGAGATGGCTATGCAAAACCATAAAGCAATCGATAAATTAATAATCTTGATTAAATAATATTTTATATTATACATTGACTTGCATAGACAAACACATTTATTGACATCACTGGATAATGTTTATTCAGGAGCCATACAGAGATGGAGAAGAGATTCAAGATATGGGTTTACAAGGAAGGAGAGCGACCTCTTGTCCATGGTGGACCCTTGAACAACATCTACGGCGTTGAAGGTCAGTTTCTTGATGAGATGGAGCATGGAAAGAGCCCCTTTGCTGCGAGTCACCCCGATGAGGCACACATGTTTCTCCTACCCATAAGCGTGGCCTATATCATCAGCTATGTCTACAAGCCTCTTGTCACGTATTCTCGCGATCAACTGCAACGTTTGGTCCAAGATTATGTTAGTGTTGTAGCCGACAAGTACCATTACTGGAATAGAAGTAAAGGAGCTGATCATTTCTTGGTTTCTTGCCATGACTGGGTATCAGAAATCTCTTTTTATCTCTGCTGTCTTATATTTGTAACCCTAATCTAAGAATGTCGTCAATTAATGGTCTTTTATTTGAAATCTCAGGCACCGGATATTTCTGGAGCCAATCCTGATCTGTACAGGAACTTTATAAGGGTCCTTTGCAATGCCAATACATCAGAA